CTACATAGCGGTCGTGGGAAGAGAGCTCGGAGGAGTGCGCCCTCTCCCATGCCCAGAGGGCCCCACAATTGTGTTATTATCATGCAATTTTGGGAGTTTACGAAAATACGGGACCCCAAATATAGACCCCAGACTAGTAGGATTCCCTTAGAATAATAAGCACCGCAATAAGGTACAGTACCCCTAATTTCGGAAACTCCCCCATGTAGACGGCGGAACCTAGATGAGAGTAGCCCGGCCTTGCCCAAGCTGACGAATCCCTGAATAGCAAGCGGTGGCTTTCTTTTATATTAATGGGGAGGCCTTTTCTTTTGTTTCGAGCCAGATATGGCTTTTAAAGCTATAATCGGCTCCATGTTTCAAATGTCTGGAGTTCCCTTGTTTCGAAACAGCGCGGCGGCAGGGGGGTAGGGGTGGCGGAGCGGGGGCAGCGGAGTGGGGGCGGGGGAGTTGGTGAGGGGTGAGGGCGGGCCAGGGTGTCTCTTTGGCACCCCCTCAACCCTAAGCCCTAAGCCCTAAACCTTAAACTCGCAAACATCGCAACATCACAGCCTTTACACATGGTAAAGACTGGACTGTTGTGAGGCTCTAAACGAGTGAACAACTTTACTTCACGTAAAACACGATAATCCGTTGAGTGTCAAAATTTTATGCTTATACTATAAGTGGTCCTTTGGGATAGGCTACCCAAAACTAGCCACCAACACACGCAGGTTGGCATCAGTCAGTGGGAGTCTGGTCGACAAGTAGCTCGGCCACAGGACTGTCAAGCGGTGTTTCCCTTTTACGGGTTTAGGGCTTTAGGGGTACTTGGTCTAAAAGGGTTTAGGTTTCAGAGTTTGGGGTTAGGGCCTTGAAGACTAAATTGTTGAGCGCTTCCACCTGTGCGCCGCACACCTTTCTCCGGCAGGAAGGTCTAGAGTCCAGGTTCTCCTTGCAAGTCCAGCAAACGGAGAGACCTTCAGGGTTTAGGGTTTAGGGTTGAGGGATTGGGGTTTAGGGTTTAGGGTTTAGGGTTTACGGTTTAGGGGTTAACCCTCAACCATGCTGGCACACTGCAACTGGGGTCAGACAGTTCCTTGATGCAGAATTCACGCCGACTGGGAGTAGTACCATCCAAGGTCAACGTGTAGGGTTTAGGGTTTTTGTTTTAGGGTTGGGGGTTTGGGGTTTAAGGTTTTGGGTTTAGGGTTTATGGTTTGGAGTTAGGCTTTGGGGTTTATGGGTTTGGGGGTTTGGGGTTTGGGATTCGAACCCGAATCCCTAAACCCTTCGGGTTCAGGGTTTGGGGTCTGATTCTTGTGAATGTTGGCTGGGTAGTTGATTGGGGGATGGCACTCTCCTAGATGAGCAAATCCAGAAAAAGCCCCGTACTTGAAGTTTCATGGTTAGGTATAAGTGGGGTTATCAGTACCCTAAATGAGGTTTTGACCCGTTAGAATTATAGCTACCTGACTTCTCACCCGCTCATAACTACCCCATGAGCCTCCAAGTCTATTGTTTACGTCAGAACCCCAAAAAAAGCATCAAGCACATTCTTCCTTATAAGGGTATAATGTTAAGGATTATTCTCTTTTTCTTGTAAAGGTTAATATAAGGTATGGTTCTCTTTATTTTTCCGGTGGTTCCTAAGCAAACAGGAGAAGTAGGCACGCCAGGCGTGTCATGTTCAGTGTTGCACCTAAAGGGCTCTCCAAACCCGACGCGAACACCCCTCCGAGACCCGCCCCGCCCCCACCCTCCCTAAACCCTATAAACCCTAAACCCTAAACCCTGAACCCTGAACCCTGAACCCTGAACCCTAAACCCTAAACCCTAAACCCTAAACCCTAAATCCTAAACCCTAAACCCTAAACCCTAAACCCTAAACCCTAAACCCTATAAACCCTAAACCCCCCCCCTACACCCCCAAACCCCAAAAGACCCAAACTTCAAGGTCCAGTCTGACGCGACGGATGGCCAGCGGACGCCGCCCAACATCCAGGAGCTACAGGCCTGGCTGTTTTTGGGGTTTAGGGTTTAGGGTTTAGGGTTTAGGGTTCAGGGTTCAGGGTTTAGGGTTTAGGGTTTAGGGTTTAGGGTTTAGGGTTTAGGGTTCAGGATTTAGGGTTTAGGGACTACAAGTAGGGCAACTCCATTCACACCTTGGCTGTAGCCTTACTTGCAGATTTTTTTTTTGTTTGGGGGGGGGGGGGGGGGGGCTGTCTTGCGTATGGGAGGCCGTTCGAAGTTCGGGCTCAAGGGCTTAGCGGGTCTCGGATTTAGGGTTTAGGGTGTAGGTTTTGGGGTTTCGGGTTTAGGGTTTAGGGCTCAGGGTTTAGGGTTTAGTGCTTGGGGTTTGGGGTTTAGGGTTTTAGGGGGTTAAAAGGCACTGCTATCTTGCTGCTTTGGGCTTAAGCAGTTTAGGGTTTGGGGCTTGGGCTCTTTAGGGTTTGGGCTGTTTCGGGTTTAGGGTTAGGCTGTTCCCTAAACCCTAAACCCTGAAGGCCCTGACACCCTAAGCCCCTCAGCCCTCGACCCTGGCTTGGTTCATGAAGGCCTTGCAGTCTGTGGTAGAACAGAAGCTTCCTTCCAGGCTCCAGGGTTATGGTTGTGTGGCTAGGATTTGGGGTTTAGGGTTTAGGGGGTTTTGGGGTTAGGAGTTTAGCGTTTTGGGGTTCTGGGTTTGGGGGTTTACGGTTTGGGAGTTTGGGGTTTTGGGCTTTAGGGTACTTGCAGTGGGCTAGTCTCACTTGGGGGGGGGCCTTCTAAGGACTAGGTACCCACGTGCCGAGCCCCCGATCCCCCAAGGAGCTGTTCCTGGGGTGAACCCTTACTACCATGAAGCTGCAAGCATGGGGTTTGAGTGCTAGATGGTGTTCAGGGCGATTTTGCCGAATTCTGGGTTGATGTTTGTGGTTTAGGGTTTAGGGGGTTGAGCTTGTAGGGTTGTGGGTGTCTAGGGTCGGGGATTCAGGGTACCCTAATCCCTCAACCCTAGACCTTGAGAGAGTCATGGTTCGCGAGCACCGCAGCCGCTTCCAGTTTTCAGTGCATATCTGCACAATCCCCGGAAAGCGCCTGTTTGGGGTTTAGGGTTTAGGGTTTAGGGATAGTCTAGGGGTCGGAATAGTTACGAATAGTATTCCATTAGGGTCTCTTTATAAGTATACTACAACACCTCCCCCAAATCCCTAATTGTTTAAGGCCCCTATATTACACTCTGAGGCTCTACGGGGTTTAGGCCCCTTTCGGGTCTGAGGGACTGCAGTGTAGGCTGGGTTGCCTTGAGGCAAGGAGTGTGTTCTGGCGTCTGAGACGAACATCACTGGTTGAGGGTTTAGGGCCAAGTGTAGTTTTTAGGGTTTAGGGTTTAGGGTTTAGGGCTTAGGGTTTAGGGTATTTAGGGTTTAGGGCTTCTATATAGGCAAGGAAAAAACAGGAGCCAGGTAAAAAAAAAAGCCAACTTCCTTTCGCATTCCGCACCTGCGCGAAAGTAGCGCCATGACCGGTTCAAAACCGCAGCAGCTCGGAGAATTTCTTGAAGGGGCCGTTCTGAAATAAGACATTCCGAGGTACGAGATGCGAATGATTATCATTTGCCCAGGTTCTTAGTAGCTGAGTGAGCACACTCTACACTTTTTGGGGATACTATAATCCCCGATAGAACTGAAAGCGTACCTTTTTGGGATACTACAATCCCCTATAGAACTGAAAGTGTACTTTTTTGGGGGGGGGGGGGGGGGCTTATGACTTCAGCAACTGAGTCATTAAAAGGGGTCGGAAACCCGAATCACTAAGCCCTAGATGCCCGAGACCCACGTAGTGCCGCCCCAACAACCCCCTTGCCCAAAACCCCTTAGAAGGCCCCTCACTCCAGGCTACCCGAACGCTGATGCTGACCCTAGCATCTTAAGCCCAACCCTAAACCCTAAGCCCTAACTCCTAAGTCCCAAGGTCTCGACCCCGAGAAAACCCCTTCAGGCCTACAGCCTAATCCCCAAACCTTAGATCCCCTAAGCGACCAACTCCTAAGCCCCATGAGAAGCCTTAACATCTAAGCCCCAAAAAAAAGAGAACCCTCAGACGACACGCGTCCGAAACTCTAAGCCAGCAGTACCTGTGACTACCAAACCCTACAAGTTAGCAGGTTAGAACATCCCTAAATAGAGTGCGGAACCCCCAAAATTAGTAGGCAAATGGAGCCCCTGATAAACCCTGAACCCCAAACCTAGACCCTGAACCCTGAACGCTAAACCCTGAACCCCAAACCCTAAACCCTTGAACCCAGGATCGCACGGCTGGATGGAAACTTGCCGCAGAGCGTGGCCAGCGTTCTGGACACGACTCCCCCACCCTGGCCACCCTACCGAAAGATATGGAAATTGTCCTACACCCTGCTAGGGTTTAATTAGGGTTTCGGGTTTAGGGTTGAGGGTGACAGGGTTGAGGGTACCTCACACCCTTAGACCCTGAAATCCGAAGCCTCGCTCAATCCTTGCACCTCGCGCTATCAAAAGTGGCGCGTACACCTTGAGTCAGATTGTCATGGTTTGCCCTATACCCCCCTCTATACTACCCCCCCCCCCCCCCAGGTTCCTCCCATAATTAAGGCTATTTAGTGATAATTAAGCCCAATGAAGGTTATTTAAGGGGGGAACCCAGGCGGGGTAGAACAGAAGGGGGGTAGTAGGGAACCCATGAGATTGCCTTCCTAACATGGAAGAAGAGTAGGATCTCCTGCGCAGGGGAGGGACCCCGAGTTGCCAGGCAGAAGGCCAACTTAGAAGGCAGCTCTGTTCAATTCCGAACCTTAGGGTTTGGGGTTTAGGGTTTAGGGTTTAGGGTTTAGGGTTTAGGGCTTAGGGTTCTTAAGCCGCAAAACGAGATAGGATCTTGCCGACAGTCTTGGTGAGTGTTTAACAAGTTCCTTGTGTAAAACGGTATATCTTGTTTGGGGGGGGAGACCAAGAATGAACATCCGACCTCCGATCTTGGGGGAGGACCGTCACGAGCTTGACATGGAGCTTCTGCTGGAAGAGCAGCTCTTCTTTGTGATAGCTGGGTAGCATTTCACATTCTTAAGGGTACCTAATATTAAACCCAATAAGGAATAACAAAATCAATCTTTATTACTATCCCAAGAATGAACAAGCCTTGGCAGCAGAAGAACTCTTAGGGGCTGGGTAGTTCACCTTTAAACCTTTTTGGTGATATTTACCATCCTATTACAAAAAACACGGATGCGGTTTTTTGGGCTGGGGTGTTCAGCCCCTAAGAACTGAGGTGTTCAGGCCTTAGGGCTGGTGATGTTGCCAAAAGAACCCTACACCTCAAAACCTTCAACCCTAAACCCTAAACCCTAAACTCTAAACCCTAAACCCGAAACCCGAAACCCTAAACCCTGAGTTCTAATGCCGCCCAGGCCTTTGCGCTTCGAGGGTTGAAGTCGCGGTGTGGGGTTGTCCTGGACCCTAAGCCCCAACACAGTGGTCTCCTGGGTTGGGTCTTCATTCCCATTGGGTTTAGGGTTTAGGGTTTAGGGTTTAGGGTTTAGGGTTTAGGGTTTAGGGTTTAGGGTTTAGGGTGTAGGGTCCTAGGTGACTCTGGGATTTAGACATGTAGTGAGGAATCAGGTGCCCAAAGCACAGTCTGGTTTGCACTATGGTGTTTTGCTTGGACAATTCATAACAATGCCACAAGTGGATCCTCCTAAATACATTGCCTGCGTCCTGTTCAAGGCTTTAGAGTTTAGAGTCACCGCAGGACGTTGCCTCAGGGTTTATCCTTTAGCTAGGGTTATGCAGAGTGTGGGGCACAAGAAAAAGAAGCATTCTTGAAGTTGTTATTGGGGCGGGCGGGGGGGGGGGGGGCCTTCGACGCTGATCCCATGGTCTATCCCTTTAAGGGACCCTAAGAACACCACCATGTGCTTTTGATCTTAAGTCCTCGTACCACCCAAAGTTTCAACCCGACAGTCCCCACACACCTATCCTCAAGCCTGAAACCCTAAAACCTTCCAAAACCTGGACGCCAGACTCTCTAAAACCCCAAACTTGGTATGTTACCCCTTATACTCTCCGTATCTAGGATTGTTAGTATAAGGGGGAAGACCCCAACCCTAAACCCTAGACCCTATAAACGCTACCTCTGGAGCAGCCGCTACACCCTCACAAGGGGCACTTCGTTTCCAAGCCCGAGCCCTAAACCCTAGAAAAATAGCCACAGCCTATAAACCCGCAAACCGTAAAGCTCCAAGCCTGTGGTTTAGTGTTTAGGTTTTTGGGAAGCTCTGAACCTTAAATCTCACTCCCCTCCAGCGGCCCTGCAAGGGAGGGGACCCATTTCATTTGGAACCACTACCTGCTTAGGGTTCGGGATTAAGGTTTAGGGTTTAGGGTTTAGGGCTTAGGGCTTAGGGCTTAGGGCTTGGGGTTTAGGGTTTAGGGTTTAAAGCATAGGGAGCCAGAAGCAGAGGCATCGAAATCTCATCGCCCGCGCCAGCGACGCCCTCCGACGGGCTCTGCAAGAAGGGTCGGATGGCCTGCGATTGGTCTTCTAAAGCCGCCTAAACCCTAAACCCGCCTAAACCCTCCTAAGCCCTAAACCCTAAACCCTAAACCCTAAACCCTTAGCCCTAAACAACCCGACAGCCCGACGGCCTTAAAGACACCCAAAGCCTAACGCCGAAACCGGTGACAGGAAGCCCAGTCACGGCCTACGCCAAATCACAATCAGACCCAGGCGCTCTTAAGCCCGACAGTAGAAGCCCTAAAGCCCTAAGCCCCGAACCCGAAACCCCAAAACCATAGAACCTCAAACCCTCAACACCCAAACCCTCGAATCGCTGAACCTCACCAGCCCAAACCCCAAACCCTGAGCCCTAAAACCCCAGTATCCCAAAAATCCTGAAACGCCTCAACCGTTAACTTGCCCGTGAGTGCACTTCACACCTTAGGAACCCACTGCTCTTGAACCCTGGTGCTTCGAAGTCTGGATTAGGGGTTTCAGGTTTAAGGCTTTAGGGGTTAGGGCTCGGGTCCTACCCAAACCTTGGAGCTTTCGGGTTCGGGGTTGATGGGAAATGTATGTGGCTTAGGGCATGTTCGGCTCAGGGCATATGAGGGGTTTAGGGTTCAGGCTTTAGGGTTTAGGGTTTAGCGATTTTGGGTTTGGGGGTGTAGGGTTTAGGGTTTAGGGTTTAGGGATTAGGGCTTTCAGGGTTCTTCGGGCTTGTGTTGCGGAGTGGTGCGGCTTAGAAGGAGCCAGAGTAGGAGTCCCTTTGTACGAACTGCTTTTTGTTGATAAGAAAGGGTAACCCGTTATTCCTAGGCTACTCTTGGACCCTATAGACCCTACGCCCTAATTCAGTCCCTAAACACCCAAATTCTTGAGACGACGCAACGCGAAGGTCCAAGGACCTTGCGGAGAAGCCCACCGTGCGCTCGGAAGAGACATTCTACATGGGCACGGAGGAGGAGCCTTGGAGATCAGTTTGGTTTAGGGGGCTTCTGAGGGGGTTGGAGTTTAGGGGCTTGTGTAAACCCTAAATCCTCAACCCTAAGCCCTAAATGGCTTAAACTCCAAACCCTAAACCCCAAACCCTAAACCCTAAACCCTAAACCCTAAACCCTAAACCCTAAACCCTAAACCCTAAACCCTAAACCCTAAACCCTAAACCCTAAGCAAGGGCCATGCCATCACCAGAGCCATCTGAGCCCCCTGCTTCCTTAAGGCCTCAACACCAGAAGGTGCCAGTATACATGGTTAAGGGTTTAGGGTTTAGGGTTTAGGGTTTAATGGTTTAGGACATACAAAGGGCTTTTTCGGGTGTTTACGGTGGGGTTTCAGGATGAATCTTGTGCTTCCGCCAGTGCCATCGAAGGACTTCGAGAAGCCCAGCGACGCCGCTGACGCGTACGCATCCAGGTCTGTGGGTGAAGCCTATCCCTAAAAGACTTCCCCCCCCCCCCCCCACCCCCTCTCTTCTTCTCTTTAAACCCTAAACCCTACACCCTAAACCCTAAATCTCGAGACTGCTTCCTTGTTCCTTGTTGCAAGCAGTGGGCAGATGCGAGTCGAAATGGGGAGCGGTTTGCTTCCTGGCTCTTCGTAGGGAACTATGGGGAGTCGGTACCCCTATAGAAACCCTTGGGTGATTAACAGGTATCTCTATATGCAAAATATATGTATATATATATATGTGGATATGCTTGTTCTTTCTTTTGGAGATTGAAAGCGAGAGAGAGAGAGAGAGAGAGAGAGAGGGTTTCAAGCAGCGTGTTCAGTGGTCAGCGAAAGACGACGCTCGGCGTGCCAAGCCCCAAACCCTGGATCCCCAAACCCGAAACCAACAAGCCCTACAGCGCTAAAACCCTAAGCCTCAACACCCTAAGTCCCCGTCCCCAAATCCCGAATCCCACCCCCCTACATCCCCAATCCCTACGTCCCGAAGTCCAACTCCAAATCCGCAACACAAAACCCTAAATCCTAGCTCCCTGCGTCCCTGGACTCAGGCCTACGGAGGACTCCGACAGCCCCAAGCCGAAGGTGGGCCATGCCGTGGTTTAGGGTTTAGGGTTCAGGGTTTAGGGTTTATAGGGGCTTGGGTTTAGGGTCGAGGGTTTGGCTGCGGGTGTAGGGTTTTGGGGCTTGAGAAAGTCTGGGTTTTCGGGCTTCGTCGGGTGTAGGGCTTTGGGTTTTAGGATTTTGGGCTTAGGGTGTAGGGTTTAGGACTTGGGGTTTTAGGGTTTAGTGTTGAGGGCCGGCTTTTGTGGAGGGCTTAGGGTTAAGGGCTTAGGGGGGCTTTAACAAAAACGGATTAGGACTGCAGTGGACATGAACCGCTGCGGTTCAGGGTTTAGGGTTTTGGGACCCTACTTCAGCGATAGGGACTAATTACGTTTTAGAGCTAAGGGCTCACACTTCCCAGCCTGCCAGCCTTAAGTCCCGAAAACCTTCAAGCCCGAGGAGCCTTTTAAGCCCTAGCTAACCCCTGTGAACCCGAAAAATTCCCTGCCTCTGGCCCCTGCAAAGATATAGGCTGTAAACCCCGAAAACACTAAAAGTAGATACCCCAAATCCTGAACCCCAAGCCCTCTCTTACCCCAAGCCCTAGACCCTAAACCCTACAGCCCTGCCTGTCAGGTTCCGTTCGAGCCCATGGTTTCAGAGGCGCCATCGCGCAGGAGCTCCAGTTGGCCGGGGGGTTTACGGTGTAGGGT